ATCTTCAGGATCTGGCCTTCTAAAGAGCAGCCAGGGTTGATCTCCTCTAGGACTGACCGGTTTGATCACCTTACAGACCAAAGGACTCCCAGGAGTCTTCCCCAGCACCGTAGTTATTTGGCGCTCAGCCTTTCTTATGGTCCAACTTTCACAGTCATACATTGCAACAGGAGAAAACATAGCCTTGACTATAAGCACTTTGGTTGGCAGGTTGAGGTCTCTGCTTTTTAGAATGCTGTCTAGATTTGCCATAGCTTTCCTCCCCAAGAGTAAGTGTCTTTCAATTTCTTGGTTGCAGTCTCCATCTGCAGTGATCTTGGAGTACATGAAAATAAAATCTGTCACTACCTCCATTTCCCCCCCCCCATCTGTTTGCCAGGAATTGAGAAGGCTGGATGCCATGATTTTAGTTTTCTTAATGTTGAGTTTCAAGCCAATCTGCTTCATCCACATCAAGAGGCTCTTTAGTTCCTCCTCACTTTCTGCCATTAGAGACCATTTATATAAACCCTATATACTCTTTTCTCCTCTTCCTCTGCTCTTATTATTATTCCTTCTCTGATGCATCCGAATATAATAATGGCATTGAAACAGAATCTGCAGCAATATAAAAGCCAAAATGATAATTCCGTGCACAGTTGGGTGCATCAGAGATATCAGCTGCCTTGCATTCCTAGTAATAATCAAAGCCAGTAGAGGGCAGAGCGGAATCAGGAAAGGCCTCTTCTGTAGGAAAATGTCATATTTGTACAAATGACAACATTTCAAGTGGATTGCCTTTTAACTTCCTAAAGTAGCAGAGGACTAAATCAAAGAATAATTTTAATTGCTTTCCAAGATAGTTACGTTCAGTTTTAGCAATCAAGTGAAGGAAGAATGCTGTACTACAGAATTAATATCAAACAGTATATTCAGAATTCATTATAAAATTTAAGCACCTGTTTTGTTTGATTGGTTTTTATTCCAGGATAAAATATATTGACCTCATTCATCAAATGCAGATGTTTCAGTTTAGGACCCTTCTGGGTTATAAGTAATGTGATGTTCTAAAATTCAAATTAAAAAAATCTGGCTTCGCTTGATTCAGAAGGAGAGAGAGAGAGAGAGACCATCTACTCTTTCTATATCGTAGAATGATATTCTACTTGTAGGATCATAGATTCATAGACTGAGGTCACACAAAATAATCCAAAACCGAAATTAATTAAATGAGATAACAAATACACCTTTAGCCATAAAAGCAAAGTCTCTTTCAATAAGGCCATTGTATTTACTGGTCATCTAGATGTTTGCAGTCCAGATATGGTAGCTCTACTTCACCCAATCAAGTTTAGCAATAGCAATAGCAGTTAGACTTATATACCGCTTCATAGGGCTTTCAGCCCTCTCTAAGCGGTTTACAGAGTCAGCATATTGCCNCTCAGAGATGATTCACACCCTGGTCAGTGTCTCTTTGCACTTCTACCATCAGGTAGAAGGCATCAAAGTCTAGCCAGCCGAACAAACAGGTTTAAAGTTTCTATCCTTGAGCTGTCAGACTTTTAAATACAACCACAATCACTCCATGCACACGCTAGGTTTTTTTTCCTTTTCTTTCTTTTTTCATTTCTGCTATAATTTTGCACCAGTGAAGTTAAAACCAATTTTGTTGCATTTAAGTACAATGACAATAAAGATTATACTTTTACTTGTACTGATCTCAGAGATCTTTCTAATAAGAGATCCCCCTCCCGGATCTATGGGGAAATCGCGATAGTGGCGTGCACGGGAAGATTACTTTTCATAATTGTGGCTGTGTGTCCAGGCTACACTAAATCTGTGACTGGCATCAATCACTAATGTTCCCTTCTCATGAGCAAAGAGAAACTACGATTTTACTCTAACTCCAACTATAGGCTGGTTGTAATGTTAAGCCGGCGTGACACAATTTATAAGTTTCCCAATCTGTTCAGCATCCAGTTGTGTTGTTTGACAGGCATTACCAATTCGTGGCAGATAAAATCCGAAGTGTTTCAATCGAGGAAGGCTGCAATTTGGTTATTTACCTATTGCTTCTAAAGAGTATCATAGGGAAAAAATGGAAATTTGTGGAACTAATGAAAAGTGAAATTTTGTGGAATTTGCAGCAGTGTATTAATTCCACAAAAAGTAATTAAAGGGAGTCAGATATTAAACTTGTACATTATTAGCCATTCTATAAATAATATTTGTTGTAAGTACCTTAATTAAGATGTGAGGGGTTATTTTTATAGACGTTATACTCTTATCATCTAGAATTTAGTATAAAGAAAATAGAATAAAAAATTCCTCGGCTCAATAATTTAAATGCTAAAATGGTACTCACAGAGTCCTATTGCTAAATAAATTGAAAACTGCAATATTTACAGATAGCAGGTCCAAATCTGCTCTCTTTATAAATCCCCATTAAAAACTGATCATACTGTTAATAAAATAAGTGAATATAAAGATGTATGTGATCTGTTTATGCAGCTGTTTCAAAAGTAGATGTAAAGCCAACTGATAGGAAATGATTAGTTAATGGGCTAATCAAACCATTCTGTAGAGGCCTTACAACAGCAATGCTTCAGTAACCTTGAGAGAAAAATATGTTGGCAGGATACACTGCAGGGGTGGGTTTCAACCAGTTCACGGCAGTCCCTGCAAACTTCCTGCAAAGTAAGTAACTTCCGGGAACGGCGAAGGGCCCACCCGCTCGCCTGCGCTCCTTACCCGGTTTTGACGAGTTCTGCGCTTCCACGCATGCGCAG